GGACCATAGAATGGGGAGCAATGTCAGTGAGTTCACAGGGATTTAATTCAAGGCAAGGGGAGGGAAGCTGGGTGTCCAGAACGCCCAGATGTTTTGGCCATGTGAAATGTTGCTTGATAATCCGAATGAGATGGAAAAGAAAACTCGACCACTGTGTTGGACATTATGATAGTCCGTTTACGACCTTGAAAAGCGTTCTCTCTCTTGAGCAGCAGGGAAGGACACCGGAATGGTGTCTGTTTAAGGGAACAGAAGGAGACTAACTGTGAGAGGGACTGAGAAAAATATCAGCCGTGTTCCGGTGTGAGGAGGAACAAGGATGAGGAGGCTGTATGTTTAAAGTGAGGGCTTTGCTTTCTAGAGAAAGCGCCATGCTGAGTGCAGAGTAATGCTGGCACTAAGGCAGCGAGAGGAGAGCGACTTCCTGAGGAGACAAGGCAGGAGCGAGTCCTCTGCCCCGGGAGCAGCCAGGCTGGCAGAGCTTCGCAGAGGGCAGGACCCTGTCCTAGGGACAGGTCTGTTTTCCGTGTGCGATATGAAGCCTCATCAGCCAGGAAGGAAGAATGAAGGGGAGAAAGGTCAGACAGTTAGAGGAGGGCGAGGGTGGAGCTTGAGAAAGGGGAGGAGAGAGTTGGGCCAGGGAAGGGCGGTGGGGAGGCTGATACAATCGCACCCCTTTAGGTTGGGACACAGTATGCATTTCATATGAGACCAGCTCTAGGTGGTGCATGTATTTACTACCAACTCCCTTAAGCCACTTGGGCTCCGTGATCCAGAGGAGAGAGCGACTTAACACGGGTTTAGGAGAGGGCATAAGGTAACGGAGCGGGAATGCAGACGGACACAGCGAGGCTGGGGAATTGCTGGCATCAGAGGTAGAAATGGAAATCAGAACGCTGACAAAGTCAGATCGTGGCTGGAGCTGGAGCGCATCCGCTGGGATTAAAAGTATCTGGGCTATAATCGGGGGTTTTCTGCGTAACTGCTGAAGACCCTGGAATTAGTGAAGGGCTGGTGGGGCTCGTGGTGGGGCTCAACTTGGTGAACGAAACACCAGATTTCAAGGATTGGAGACAGAGATGGGGAGATGAGTAAGAAAGTCAAGGACAAATACCTCCAGGCCCCTGGGAGCGCCCTGTAAGGAAACCAGACAGCAGGCTAGTGTACAGGTCTCAGCTCCTAGATCCTTCTATGACATCGATATCAGAAGAAGAGCTTCAAAAGTGGCACCAATGCCTGGCTCCTCTGACCATTTATAAACAAATCAGGCCCCTGGGCATGTTGGCAGCTTGAGAAAGTCTGTTTCCTATCATTCTCACTCAGGCTTGGCATCACCAAGGGTCTGGATTTCTGTCTGTCTCAGGAGTGGGCAGTGATACACAACCAGAGGTATTTGAATCCGTGTTTTTCCGAGGGTGGTGAGGATGCTTGGCTGTGTACTTCCCCATGTTAGACCCGTTTTGACTTCCTCTGCTATCCGTCTGTTTACATCCTTGGCTTACCTTGCCCTCCCCTTCGGGTTTCTCAGTCACATTTCTACTGATTTGTTGGAAACTTTATATATTTTGGATACTATCATATGGTTGCAGTACTACAAATACATTTTTTTTAACACAGCCGTGGCTTGTCTCCCCCACGAATTCAATAGCAAATGTTAGCTTTAATATCAGAACGTAATGTTTTGCTTCTGTCTGAACGGGGACAGGATATTAGCTGGCCTCAGGCCATGTTATCTTATTTATCCCGCTGTGGCATTTTAAAAAATAAAATAACATAAAGTTGGCACATGCTTACATTGTCAACACTGGGGAGCAGAGGCAGGACAACTGCAAATTTGAGGCCCACTTGTGAGATACTATCTCAAAAAAATGACGTATGTGTATGGTATTTTTTTTTTAAGGTGAGAGGGTCATACGATGGTGATGGTTCTTAGCTCTGCTGCTGGAAGGCAAGAGTTCTGAAGTAACCTCTGAGAAAAGAATTATGCCTGTTCCAGGATATGTGTGCAATCCTGGTGTTAATCTCCCGTGTTGACATAATAAATTTCCCTCAGGCTTAAAACAACAGCAGTTTATTCTGCTTAAGGTTCCAGAAATCAGCGAATTGGAAATGAATGCAGGGTGGTGCTCCCTCCAGCCCCTGGCTGCAGGCATTCATCGGCTCTGGGCGTCAGGCTCTGTGTCCCAGTCAAATGGGTGTCTGCCTGTGCCTCTTCATGTGAGTCTTGGAATTTGGCACACAGTCTTGGGACCACCCACCCCTATCCATCTGTTTCCTCGCTGCTCCCGAATCGGCATTAGGTATGGGTGATGAAAGCATTGCTCTCCCAGCATCTTTCTGAGGGTTGGCAGGAACTTGATGGGTCCTTGTGAAGTGTTCCAGGTAAAGCTGGGAAGACTAGCCCTGTTCACGTGTGCCAGGCCGTGGTGCTGAAGCTTGCTTTGCTTCATTTGGCCACAGTGTCCTCTGATCTCCCTTCTTCCCCACTGAAACACACGGCTTTCACAGGATTCAAATCCCCTTACTCTCCTGCCTTCTCTTCTGGGTGGTCCCTGGTCCAGACACCTGATGTTCATTATCATCCCTGAAAGTCACAACTCTGATCATTCTGCAGATAAAAACAGTCTCCGCGAGGTTAGACAACTTGGCCAAAGCCTCACAGCTCGCAAGTAGCCACGGGAGGAAGTCAGCCCGCTGTGTTCTCGCCTCCGCCCATTCCGCTGTCATGTGGGCTCTTCCATGTTACTTGAATTTGACTGGTTTGGTCTTCCCCTTGAAAGCGTTTCTGAGGATTGCAGCAACCTCAGCAAGAAAAGCGCCTCCCTCCCCAAATGTCAACATTATTATGCAACACAGTTGAGACATGAGTCATGTGACCAGTTTTCAGTGATGTGTACGTGTGTGCCTGCATGCGTGTGTGCGTGCGTGCGTGTGTGTCCACAAGTTTGTGTGTAAATATATGTATCATATGTTTTCTTAAGAAGCAGGCCCAGTGCTGCCTGAAATCCCTCCCCGTCTCTGGCTCCTCTCCTCTCCGCCTGTGTCCCCTCTCCTGGTGACCCCCCGACACCCACTGCTCACAAGCTGCCAGCCTTGCCTCCCTCCCTGCTTGCTGAGCCTCCCCGGTTCTCAGCAGACTTCCTCTTATGTTCGGTGAGTAAGAGCTTTCTCTTCCCTTTCTCCTGAAAGTAGAAGTAATTTCTTCCTATGCTCAGCATTGTCCAATGCCATGCACAGTCTTAACGTGCTTTGGCAGTGAGATCAATTAATGCTTAATTACTCATGTATTTAGTTCTTCGCACAAGCTAAAGGAGTGAGAAGGCTCGGGAAGGGAACACCCGGCTGAAGGGTCTGGCCTTCCTTCTCTTTGCCTTCCAACCTGGACTGGAAGCATTCTCAAATTCTAAACAGTCTTTAGAAAACTAATTTCTAGTCTGGTCTAGAAGGATTCCAGCATTGCTTGCTCTTCCAGGATTAAAAATTAGAGCATGCAGCTGGGCAGAGGTAGTGCACGCCCTTAATCCCAGCACTCGGGAGGCAGAGGCAGGCGGATCTCTGTCAGTTCGAGACCGGCCTGGTCTACAAGAGTTAGTTCCAGGACAGTCCCCAAAGCTACATAAAAACCCTGTCTCAAAAAACAAAACCAAAAACAAAACAAAACAAAAAAAACTAGAACACCCAATAGTATCCAATGTTGTCAGACTGTGAAGTCAGGCTAACTGTGTATCAATCACAAAACATCTCTTGACAATTGACTTTCCAAAAAGCAAATGACGAGCTTAAGCTTATTTTATTTTTAAAGTATCTCTGTCAGTCCCAAGATGCTCAAACCGTGCTTGAATGACAGAGGCTATTCTGGGGGTAAACGTGAAGGATTGTCGTAGCAGAGAATCGAGTCTCATAACTTCCTGTCCTGGCAGCGATTTAAGATTTAGTCTGAAAATGTAAAACGTGCCTTAGATAAATACTTCTAGTAATAACAAAAAGTTCATAATTTGCTCCAAGGATTTATAAGCTCTTTTAGACGGCAGCCCTGCTCTGGAATGATTTTATACGTGGGGTAATTCCACCGAGGGCCAGGAGATGGCGCCAAACCACTCACGTACCGCTGTTCCCGGGCTAAGGACTGGGCTTGGTCAAGCACATATTTTTTTCAGAGCACTTCAGAGGTTGCTTTCTTTTCTGAGAAGGAAGTCTTGGTGAGTAAGAAGACTTTTCTGGATTTTTCAAATTATTGTGTTGACGCTTTAAATGAGAAAGAAAATGGTAACGTCAGTGTAGGGAATAGGTAACCTCTCTTTGAAATTTTTGCAAAATGATTTTGTGTTTGGTGTTTTAAAGTGTGGTTATCGTTTGAACTACCTAAGACAAATGTGTGACTTAACGCTAGACAGAAGGCAGCTGGCATTTCAGCAGTAGCTAAGGAAGTGAGCAGACTCGTGTGATTTTTCCACCCTGGTTTGGGTTGTTTTCTCTGTTCACGGAGTTTGTAGCCGTTTGTAGACGCGACAGCACACCGTCTGTACTGGTGTGTGGAGACAGTGTTTCATTTCCCAGTCACGTAGCACTATAATCTTAATTGGTCGGTACCTCTCACTGATTCGTGAGCGTTTTGGAGGAGAGGCTAATTGAGTCGCTCCTATGTTATTTCATATCCCCAGCGCTAGTCTCTACCGTGCCCCGTGGCCGTAGAGGACACTGAACAAATATGATTTAAGTGGTGGAAGTGACTGAGACCGGATTCCTAAACTCTGTGACCTTGAGTTCAGCTCTCTTCCTCCGCCTAAAGTCTGACAAAACCAGGTTTCTCTTGCGTTTGTGTTGACTTAATGACAAAATTCTTCTCAAACTTGCCCTTGCTTACCGTTTAACTCCCCTTCCCCTTTCCGGTAGCTTTAATTTTCACAGCGACTCCCTCCACCCGCCACCTTTGTGGTTTTTGAAATAGGGGTTGTGTTGACTGTTCCTTTTTTCTTTCACTTTTTGTTTGATGCATAAATCTTACTCCTGTTCTTTTCGACTTCCTTTGGAAAGACAGAAACTCTTGAATTTTCCAGGGAGATCTTCCGGTTGTCATGCCCCCTCAACCATGTATACACTGAAGTTGGGGGCTGCTTCTCAGAATGTGTACTCTAAGAACTGCTTGAGGTTTTGAGCAACTTCCAGGACTCACATGTGTCCTCGTGGTCACAAGACGGCTGAATGGCAGATCCCCTGAATAAGACACACAAGCTGTCAGAAGAATTTGTAGGATGGGACTTCATCCGTGAATATCAATTCTCTACCATTGTGTTGAAAATGCCGGCCCTCTTTATGTATGTATTAATACTATAAATAATGCAAGCATGCTTATTTACAAATAACATTTTATTTTGGGTATATTTCAAGTGGATTTTAAATTTTTCTAACGTATTAGTTCTTTGAGAATGTCGTACAATGTATTTTGATTGTATGCACCCCCCCAACTCCTGCCTGACCCACCCCTCTTCCCTATCTACCCACCTTAGAGGTCTCTTTTTTCCCCCTAAACACATCAAGACCTATTTTGCCATCCATATACTCTTGGGCATGTGACCTTCCACTGGAGTGTGTCAGACCTACCAAGGGCTCCACCCTGAAAGAAAACTGACTCCCCCAACATATATTACATCCTAACCTCAGTTTCCCCTCTCTCTACTCCTCCCAATGCCTCTCCTAAACTTCTCCTCTCCCCCAGAACCATTCCTCCTCCATTTTCCTTTAGAAAAGAGCAGACCTCTCAGAGATATCAACCAAATGGCGTAACAAGTTACAGTAAGACTGGGCACACATCCTCATATCAAGGCTGGACCAGGCAACCCAGCAGAAGGAATGGGGTCCCAAAAGTAGGCAAAAGAGTCAGAGACAGCCTCCACTCCCACTGTTAGGAGTCCCACAAGAACACCAAACTCCACAACCATAATATATACACAGAGGATCTAACTCAGAGCCATGCAGACTCCCTAATTGTCGCTTCAGTCTCTGTGAGCCCCTATGAACCTTGCTTAGTTGATTCTGTGGACCACGTTCTTCTGGTATCCTTGACCCCCCTGGCTCTTGCAATCCTTCCTCCCCCTCTTCTGCAGGGTTTCTTGATCTCTGCCTAGTGTTCAGTTGTGGGCCTCTCCATCTGTTCCCATCAGTTGCTAGATGAAGCCTCTCCCAGTTATTCTGCGATCCAAGGCTCTGTTTAAGAAATGTCTGCTTTTGTGTCCCAAGCTCACAAATAATTTTACATATGGAATAGAACCCAAGAGAGGGTGGAGCCAGCCAGGGAGTCTCAGTCATTTGTCCTCCCTGAAAGACGAGGTCTGCGGGCTTGGGCACCTGCCTCTGTGTCTCCCTCAGGTAATCTTTTCTCGTCACTCAATGTCATTGATATGTACATCGATGTCTGTGATCTGATGAGATGCACATGAGGCCTTCTGGGCTCTGGAAAAAATAGTTATTGCTGACATACTTTAACCTCACACACCTTCTAGATTCTTCCATGGGCTTTATCTTTTCTTCCTGAAACATGCTCTCCCCATGTAGCCAAGGCTGGCCTGAAACTCTTAATCCCCTTTCCTGGGCTTCCCTGGGGCAGATTACCCTGCATCACTGTGGCTGGTTCCTCCCGTGTGTTTTGACATTGTTCTCTCTCTTCTCCCATTTTGTGTGAACTGTAGGAACTTCCCAAGCTTCTGATTGTCACCCGCTGAATCTCATTTCCTTACCTCTATAGCTTCTAGGCTAATAGTTGTCGGGAAATGCATGCTTCTTTTTATGAAACACATGCCAAAGAGCCGAGGTCCAGGGGCTAAAAATAAATCTCTGCCATCAAAAGAATCAATGAAATGAACCTTTGCCAGGACCCGAATGCTCCTGTTTCCCTGAAACGCGTCTGCTGACACTGAGTTGTCAAGGTGATTGTAACGGGATGGGCGAGGGTAGGAGGGTGGGATGCCACTGTGAGAATTAAGTTGTTGGTGGAGACTTCTTTGACTCCAAAGGCCAGTACACAGTCTCTGGCTGGCTTCTGGCCCCCGTGTGGCTCAGGTATTTTTCTATGCAATTCAGAGCCTGAGTGGTATGGATTCTTGCATGTGTATCTATGTTGATGCCTCTACACCTCTTTGCCTTCCCTTCTTTGCCTCCGTCCCCTCTTCCTGTCTCTCCTCGCCCCACTTTCCCGGTGTCTCCCTTTCTCTTACTTCTCTGGCCTTCTGGTGTGTCTATGTTTTCTTACCTCTGGCTCAGGTGACTGCAGCTAGTGTATTTGTCCTCGACTTTTGTTTTCTGACAATCACTACCCAGGAGGTTGCTCCAGTCCTGAGAAAGTTCTGAGTATGGAACAAAGGTGATGCCCCCTCCCCGCAAAAAAACCCTTTAGGAAGGATTTTGGGGGTTAATCCTTTAGCCCCCAGACTAGTCAAAACATTTAATCATGGTACTCTGATTAAAGTTCATATTGTCCCCTGTAGCTACAGACTGAGAACATTTCACATAAAAACATGGGCTAGTGACGAGTGCTAGAGAGGATGAAGAAAATATCCGAGTTTCTGAGAAGTGGAAGCTTAAAAGCCATTATCTAATCTTTATTCACCTTAAAGTCTCTCTCATTTCTAGGACTTGAACTCAAGTAAAAATGCTATGAAACAAATGGTACAGTCCCTTTGGGATAACCACTGCATCATGACCCGACGTAGAGAACCCACTGCGGGAAGTTTCCATTTTGTTTGCATCCTGGCCTTCATAGTTGGAATCATGATCCAGTTCTCTGATGAACGTGAGTCTGCAGTAGACTATTCAAACAGGAACCTAACTCGTGTCCCCAAAGACCTGCCGCCAGGAACAAAATCCTTAAATCTGTCTCAAAACTCCATCCCCGAGCTCCAGATGTCTGATGTTCGCTTTCTACCGGAGCTGAGGGCTCTGAGGCTCTCCCATAACAGAATCCAGAGGCTTGATTTTGGTGTGTTCAAGTTCAGCCCGGATTTAGAATATCTGGATGTCTCTCACAATCAGTTGCGAAACATCTTTGGCTGCCCTGCGGTGAGCTTGAAGCATTTAGACCTCTCATTCAACGACTTCGACGTGCTGCCCGTGTATAAGGAATTTGCCAACTTGACGCACCTGAGTTTCTTGGGATTAAGTGCTACGAAGTTCCGACAATTGGATCTGCTCCCGATTGCTCACTTGCACCTAAACTACATTCTTCTGGACTTAGTGGGTTATCATGTCAAAGATGGTGAGAATGAAGGTCTTGAGGTTCTGAATACCAACACTCTTCATTTGGTCTTTCATCCAAGTAGCTTGTTCTCTGTGCAAGTGAACATATCTGTGAATGCTTTGGGATGTTTACAATTGAGTAATATTAAATTGAATAATGGAAACTGTCAAAGGTTAATTACATTTTTATCAGAACTCACCAGAGGTCCAACCTTATTCAATTTGACTCTCCACCACATGGAAACAACCTGGAAGTGCTTTGTTGAACTTCTCCAATTTCTTTGGCCCCGACCAGTGGAGTATCTCAATATCTACAACCTAACGATAACTGAAAGCATCAATCATGAAGAGTTTATTTACTCAGAGACAGCACTGAAGGCGCTGACAATAGAGCATGTCACAAACCAGGTGTTTATCTTTGCAAAGGAAGCGCTGTACTCCGTGTTTGTGGACATGAACATCAGGATGCTGACCATCTCACACACACCTTTCATACACATGCTCTGCCCTCACTTCCCAAGCAAGTTTACGTTTCTGAACTTCACCCAGAATGTGTTCACAGACAGTGTATTCCAAGGCTGTTCCACCTTAGGGAAACTGGAGACACTTATCTTACAAAAGAATAGCTTGAAGAACCTTTCCATGGTAGGGCTCATGACTAAGAACATGTTCTCTCTGGAAACTTTGGATGTTAGTTTGAATTCCTTGGACTCTCATGCATATGAGGGAACATGCACTTGGGCTGAGAGCATATCGGTGTTAAATCTTTCTTCAAACGTACTTACTGACTCTGTCTTCAGATGCTTGCCCCCCAAGGTCAAGGTCCTTGACCTTCACAACAACAGAATCATGAGCATCCCTAAAGATATCACCTACCTGCAAGATTTGCAGGAACTCAATGTTGCATCCAATTCTTTAACGGACCTTCCCGGATGCAGGGCCTTCAGCAGCCTTTCTGTGCTGGTCATCGAGCATAATTTAGTTTCCCACCCCTCAGTGGATTTCTTCCAGAGCTGTCAGAAGATCAGGTCCTTAACAGCAGGGAACAACCCGTTCCGATGCACTTGTGAGCTGAGAGAGTTTATCAAAAACATAGGCCACGTGTCAGGAGAAGTGGTAGAGGGCTGGCCCGATGCTTACAGGTGTGACTCCCCAGAAAGCGCTAAGGGGACCCCACTGCAGGACTTCCACATGTCTCCATTGTCCTGCGATACTGTTCTGCTGATTGTCACTGTCGGGGCCACTTTGCTGGGGTTGGTTGCCATCATGGCTTTCCTCTGCCTCTACTTTGATCTGCCCTGGTACCTAAGGATGATGTGTCAGTGGACACAGACCCGGCACAGGGCCAGGAACATCCCTGAAGAGGAACTCCAGAGGAAGCTTCAATTCCACGCTTTTGTCTCATACAGTGAACATGATTCCACCTGGGTGAAGAATGAATTACTACCAAACCTAGAGAAAGATGGCATACAGATTTGCCTCCATGAGAGAAACTTTATCCCTGGCAAGAGCATCGTGGAGAACATCATCCATTTCATCGAGAAGAGTTACAAGTCCATCTTTGTGTTGTCTCCCCACTTCATCCAGAGTGAGTGGTGCCATTATGAGCTCTACTTTGCCCATCACAATCTCTTCCACGAAGGGTCTGATAGCTTAATCCTGGTCTTGCTGGAGCCCATCCAGCAGGATAACATTCCCAGTAGGTACCACAAGCTGCGGGCTCTTATGACACAGCGAACTTACTTGGAATGGCCTGCGGAGAAGAGCAAACGTGGACTCTTTTGGGCCAACCTTAGAGCTTCTTTTAGTACAAAGTTAATATTAGTCCATGAAGAGGACATGGGAACTTGAAGTTTGGATTTCCAACTTACTGAACTGCCAACTTGGACTCCCATGAGCATTGTGGTTTTACGTCCCTAGCTCGAGCTACTTCTTTTATGGCGCCCTAGTTCCGGGTCTGTGACTCTGATAAACAGCATAACGGAGGAAAAGTCTTCTCCGGGCTTGTGGTTGCAGTCTATCTTGAAGGGGAATCGAGGCAGGAACTTAAAGCAGGAGTCTGGAGGCAGGAATTGAGGCAGAGACTGTGGAAGAGGGCTGCTTTCAACCTTTCTCTCCGCATCTTGTTCCGTGTGCTTTCTTATCGCACCGAGGGCCACCTGCCCAGAGGTGGCATCACCTACTAGGGGCTGGACCCTCCCACATCAATAGTAATCAAGAAAATGTCCCACAAGCCTGCCTGCAGTCTGACAGAGACATTTTCTTATTTGAAGTTCTTTCTTCCCAAATGTGACCCTAGCTGGTGCCAAGTGGACAAAACGAAAACAAACAAAAACAAACAAACAAACAAGCAAAAACCTAACACATATGATTTGGAGATAAAATGTCCCTAACGGCTCATGCTTGAAGGCCTTGAGGAAGATTCTGATGGTGCTATCTTAAGTAGCTTACAAAGGTGCTAACTTCATCAATGGAGTTACCCACCGCTGAGTTCACAGCTGTACGGGTCATTAGGATGGGGGTCCTAAATCTAGGAAGTAGGTCATTAAGGACATGCCTTTGAAGGTTATATTTTCTTCAAGGCTCATTTTTCTTTCTTTTCTTGCTTTTTTTTTTTGTTTTTTGAGACGGGTTTTTCTGTGTCACAGTTTTGGCTGTTCTGGAACTCACTTCATAAACCAGGCTGGCCTTGAACTCACAGAGATCCACCTGCCTCTGCCTCCCAAGTGCTGGGATTAAAGGTATGCGCCACCACCGCCCAGGGTTTTCTTGTTGTTCTTAAGTCAGGATCTCACCATATGTAGTTCAGATTGTCCCTGAGCCTAGTGTGACCCTCCTGCCTCAGCCTCCCAGTGCTGGCATTGACAGAGATGAGCTGCCACAGTTAGCTTAGGAGTGTGTTCTCGCACTCTCTCCCCACCTCTTCCCTGTGCTCCAGCATCACCATAGGGTGAATAATCCCCCCCACACACATGTCCCCACTGCCATGATACTCTGCATGACCTCAGGTCCCAAAGCCAGGGACTCAGGTGAACTTGGATTGAAGCCATGGTCACTTCCTCCTTTGTTCACATGAGGTCTTCAGTCACAGCGGCAAAAGGCTGACAGACACAGTTTCTGTCTTCTCCGTGTCTTTGGCAGAGAGTAGATGGACATTCTGGTGCCATTGAGCTGTGGGCTGAGGCTGCAGGGTGGGTGCGACACTCGGTTTATTAGTCAGAGGCAGCTCAGTTGCATCCGGCTTGCCTGTCTGTTCTCACGGTGACACAGTCATTTTTAGGGAAATACTCTATCCTTCACAGAGAGTTCCCTTTCCCAGATGGAGCAGTAAGCTCTACATGGCTTCCTGTGAGCCAGACAGAGGGCAATGGTATGCGTCCGTCCTCACAGAGTCCCTTAGTTGCTTATCGACCTGCGGCTGGGCTTCACCCTCCTGTGTGTGTTCAGGTAGATTGGTATACGCTTCGTCAGCAGGCAGGAGGAGCTGAAGATGTTCACAGGTTTAGAGAAGAAAAAATTCTCGCCTGATGCTACAAAAATGGAGGGGGAGGGGGTTATTGTTGACTAAATTTTTTTCTTTTCGTTTATTTGTGTGTTTTGATTTTTCTTGGTGAATGTTTTATTTGGAGAATAAAACATTGAAATTACTAAGAACTTTCATGTCAGAAAAACATAGATATAGATATTTGATCTTGTTGTAGGAAAGAACTTTTAAATTATCAAAGAAGTAGGGCATATACCTTTAACCCTGTCCTTGGGAAGCAGTAGAAGTCAGATCTCTGAGTTTGAGACCAACCTGGACTATACCGTGAGATCCTGTCTCAAAATCAAATAAACAAAATGTCAATGGCTTGCTGAAGTGGACGTCTTAGTTAGGGTTTCTGTTGTCTGAAGAGACTCCATGACTGCAGCAACTCTGATAAAGGAAAACATTTACTTGGAGCTGGCTTACAGTTTCAGAGGTTTAATCCATTATCATCACGGCAGGACATGGCTGGACACAGGCAGACATGGTGCTGGAGAAGTAGCTGAGAGTTCTACATCTGGATTAGCAGGCGGCAGGAAGAGACAGTGACATTGGGTCTAGCTAAGGCATCTGAAACTTCAAAGCCTACTCATAGAGACATATTTCCTCCAACAAGGTCACACCTACTCTAACAAGGCCACACCTCCTAACAGTGCCACTCCCTATGGACCTATTGAGTTCCTTTTTATTCAAACCACCACAGGCACCTTGTACAGACTAGTAATAGCCAACTGCTAAATATTCATCAATTCTGCAGCCAGATATCAGCTATAGTGGGAACACTGGCATTCCAAATATCAACAAATGCTACAAACCCATTAGCACTCAGTTGAATGGCAACAATAAGAAAGGAAATATAAGGACATAAAATATACTTTGTTTTAAAAAGTTGTGAAAGTGAAAGATGAACAGGAAGTGAAATGTCTGAGTGGAGTGGGAAGCGCCAAAGTCAGAAACAAAAAAGAGAATGTACCATAAGGTACTAAACTATGACCCCAATATAAAAACAGTTTTATTCTATGAACAAATAAAGTGGTACAAATTGTTCTCTAAATAGGAAAAAGCTCAATGATATGATACAGTGAAAAAGAAACAGTTAGGAAATACTGCTCCACATCACTGAAGGTCCCAGAATCTGCCCAGTCTACACATTGCAAACCTGAGTGTGAAGGGCAGAGGCCCCTGGGATGACATTGTCAGTTGTCTGATTATAGAAGACGATGTGTAAATGGTCTGCAACTGCTTTTCTGTGTGTTTCCAGGTCTTGTATGCTTGATGCTATTGCTATTACAGCAGGGTTGTGCCCCGCTCCCCTAGAAGACATCATGCTTCTGTGCACAAGCTACTCAATAATATTATGCCCAGATAAAACCAGAAGTTATCTAAACAAGCAGATACAGAAATCACAACACAGAGACACAAGAAGGATGGGAAAGCAAGGCACACAACCCTCCAGAATATCAGAAAAAAGAAGATCAACTATGGGACACAATAGATACTGAAATAGTGCAGCCCTGGTGAGCCGCCATGTTCCGGTGAAGGAGTGCACATCCAAGAGTATCCGAGCAGCACAGACCGGTCCTGAAGAATCCTTTCTAAAGGACACAAAGTTGGGAGATTAGGGAAGGGGAGAGGATCTGGGAAGACTTGGGGGATGAAGTTGATCAAAACACATTGTATAAAACTCTCAAGGAACTAAAAAAAAAAAAAATTAAAAGCTACTGAAGAAAGTAAACTACCAGACAAAGGTTTCAAAATTTCACTTACATATGATCAATGACCTGAAAGAGAGTGCAAATCAGCAAAAGAATTCCATCCAGAGCCTGGAGAGGGAAGTCAGCATCATAGAAGAAAAGGTCACCCACATGGAGGGGAAAAATTAGCGGTATGGATTAAAAAAGCTAACATCATGGAAGCAAAATTCAGCAAGGAAATTGAGATTTGAAAAAAAATATCTAGGAATGAAAAATTCAATGCATGAGATGGAAACCCAGTGGAAGGTGTCACTAATCAACTCAACCAAGCAGAAGAGAGAAATCGAATATGGAGGATATGGCTGACAAAACACTGCACTGAAATAGTCATATGGGGAAAACAATGAGCATGTCCACAGCATCTAAAGATGCTGAGACACGGAGAAGAGACCAAGCCTAGGAGTCTATGGGGTAGAAAAAGGGCCGAGGCAGACACCAAATGCATAGAGAATCTGTTCAATGAAGTTACAGCAAGAAATTCTCAAAATCTGGGTATTCAAAAACAAGAAGCACTTAGAGCTCCAAGTGGAGATGACCAGAAAAGCCCTTTCCCAGGATGTGTTATAGTCCAAATGTCAACAATGCAAAGCAAAGAAGCTATACTAAAAGCCGTGGGGGAAAACTCACAAAAGCAAATGTCAGAATAACATCAAATTTCTTGTCAGCACCATAAAATACAGGATAACGCAGTAGGTATATTTCACACTCTGAAAGTAAACACATGCCGAGCCAGCTTGCTATAGCCAATTAAACTGTCTTTTAAATTTATCGGTGGCTAAAGAATGGCACTTCAAGACAGGCATAAGCTGACAGCTCATGACTAGCTTCATACTGTGGAAGATGCGTGGTATCACGAATAATGAAACCCAGAGACAGATACTGGGTTCAACGTGAAGACCAGAAAAGCAAAGCAGCCGAGCCCCTAGAGAGCTCTTGCCTCCATGAAATCTTCAGACTGAAAGAGAGTGAGTTACTGTCTCATCCTGCCTTTATATTCCTCTCTAGGGCTGGGATTAAAGGCGTGCACCACCACCACATGGCCTCTATAGCTGCTAGTGTGGTTGCTGGGATTAAAGGTGTGAACCACCACTGCCTGGCATGTATAGGGTGATTAGTGTGGCTGTTTTGCGTTCTGATCTTCAGTCAAGCTTTATTTATTATTTATTTATAATGCAAGTGAAACATCACTAGAATATATATACAGAGGAGGAAGAACTACAGTCTTCATATTTCTCTTTTATGGAACAGTTTGAGGGATATTTATATTAGATTTTCCTTTAAAGTTTTGGAGATTTTTCAGTTTATTCCTTATTATTTAATCGAAATTTTACATACCAGTCCCCAGTTCCCACTCCCCAGTTTATTTTCTTTTAATATGAGTTTTTAGAGTTTTCCTTGCTGGGGATAGGGAAATTGAGAGATTTCTAGGTAGGTAAATCCCTTGCTGCATAAGTGTGACAGTCTGAATATGGATCTGCCTTACCCTCATAAATGCAAGGCAAGCATGGTGACCGCCCTATAACCCTATAATACCAGTGCTTGAGAGGCAGAGACAAGGGATCCCTGTGGCAAGCAGACCTAGTTAGACTAGATGAGTCCAAGAGCTCCAGGTTCAAGTGAGAGAGGCCTTGCCTCAAAATACAACGTAACGCGTAATTACACAAGACATACAACTTCAGCTTCTGGCCTTCACACCCATGTGCACACATATGCATATGCATACAAACACGTGTGCAAGCATGTGTGCGCATGTGCAGGCGCGCACATGCATACACACACACACACACACACACACACACACCAAACCAAACAAAGAAACAAAAGACAGCTAACACCCACAAAAACAGAGACTGGAGAGAGACAGCCGCTTCAACAATTGGTGTAGGAAAAAGCTGGATGTCCACGTATAGAAAAATAAAACTAGATCTATATTTCCCACCTCGTACAGAAATGTAAGACCCGATTCTGTGTTACCCTCTCGGTACAGTTCGCGCGCCACTGTACCGTACATGAGTCGGGCAAGGGCCTGGAGATTGAAAGAACACACAAGAGACCTGGGTCATTCTAAAGGAGATCAGTCGAATGCTGTTTATTCAACTTTGGGGAAATTCTATTATACCTAGCTACTGCACAAGGATTTCCACCCAGGCAGGTGGGAAATTACCATACCAAAGATGAAACAATGCCCTACAGCTAATCACCAGGCGAGGCAGAGGGAGCACAGCAACAAACAGGATGTTTTAGCTGGTTGACCAGAAACTGTCCTCAAGATGCACCCCAAGGAGCAAGGGTAGACCCTGGGACCCTACACAGAAAGAAATTCAAAATGCGTCAGAGACCCAGAGGTAAGGCCTCACTCCTTGAGACTGCTAGAGGAAAAACTTCAAAACACAGATAGAAAAGGACTCCAGTAGTACAGGAAACAATCCAAAGGACCAACGAGTGGGGTTGCATGAAATCAAAACCTCCTGCCCAGAAAAACAAGCAATAACCAAAGTGAAGAGACAGCCTACAGAATGGGAAAAAAATATTTGCCAATTCCACATGTGATGTGGAATTAATAGCTGCAATCTATAATGAGGCACAAGAATTAAACATTAAAGATCCCAAATCATTGGGCCAAATGAGCTAATGCATCCAACAGACAATTCTCAACAGAAGAAATATAGATTGCCAACAAATGCTTGCAAAGTGTTCAACACCCTTCAGCATTAGGAAAATACAAACTGAAACTGTGCTAAGATTCTATCCTGCTCTGGTCAGAAGGGCCATAATCGAGAAACCAAATGACAACAAATCCCGGCAAGGATGTGGAAAGGGGGAATCTTTGCACAGATTTGGTGTGAATGCAAATGTGTGTAGTCACTATGGAAATCAGAACGGAACCTGACCAAAAGGCTAAAAATGGAGCTGTTCTATGACCCAGTTACTCAATTCAGATTATATTCGAATTACATATTCAAGCTGGGATAAGTATAATGACACACATGCAGATGGCATAATTAAGCCTACTAACCCGTGTAGTTAGTGTTGCTGATCAACTTGATAGGATATAGGACCACCTAGGAGACAACCTCCGGGCATGTCTGTGAGTGAGTTTAGATCACCGAGGAGAGAGATGCATCCTAGATGTGGGTGGTCTCATTCCAAGGGCTAAGATTCCTAACTAAATAAAAAGGAGACAAGCTGAGTATCGGCTTTCATATCCGTCTTCTTACTTTCTGTGGATGTAGTGTGACCAACTACCTCGCCCACCTGTTGCCATGACTTCCTCATACTGAGAAACTGTACCTTCAATAAGTCGTTTTATTTACCAATAAAGACTTGGGAGTCAGATGTTGAGGTGAAAACCTGCTAGATCAGAGAA